AGGAGGAAAAGGAGGAGGAGAAACAGGAGAAAAAAGAGGAAAAACAGAAGGAGGAGACAGAGGAGGAAGAATTTTGAATCTATTGATAATTCTCTGAAAATCCCAGCTTAGTAGAAAGGTGATGCCACAGAGTCACCATTGACAGTCTTGTTTCCAATTCCAGAAGACTTCTCCACTGTCCCTTTCTCCTGATCATAATGATATGTTCTGGAAAGCCTCAAGATGAATGCCTTCTTCCACTCAAAGTTCAGCCTGAATATCAGGAGGGTTTTGACAGACTGTATTATGCAAACATGATCAAAAATACATAATCATAAAGTATCTGACAGGAAACACAACCACAATCTTCAGTGCCAAAACAATATTCTTTCACTTGCACTATAATCAATTTGAGCACATAGTTGGACCCAGATTAATGACATGTCAGATGTCTTCTCTTGTTCTTAATAGCCTTCTAAAAAATGCATCTAGACATTACCACTAGATTATATTCATCTGCCAACAAGCACGAGTTTTGAACCTCAGCACAATTTAGGTTTGACTGCTACACACTGACACTTGACTACCTGAGAAAATGGGACCAGTCAGGTACTTTTTTCCTATGTCTTTCACTTCTTCCAATATCAAGTCACTTGAATGTTCACTAGGTGTGCCAGCTGTAGGAGGGAAAAGGATTTCATTAGATTATAGGACAGAAATTCAATATTCATACTTTGTATTGGGACAAATTTAAAGTCTTTACCAGACCATATGATAATACATAAGCTACCTCCCTCCCCCAACTTCCTACCTTTTCCAAAAATTCTCTATGTTCTCATAAAAACTGACTGGGTACAAAGAACATCATCTAAACAAGATCCAGCCTTCTGTCTTTTTTATCACCCAAACTGAACATAATGATCTTGCCACAAAAACTATGAATAAGATAAATTTAGCCATTTCACCTTATCAGTATCAATTAGAATTCAAAAGGTCTTAGGTGAGACTATACCTCTTGTCAACACCAGAACTGAGCACAGATTTCCAAGGTCCTTTTATCATTGGTTATTGTCACAGCATGAACTTCACACAGAAATTTCAATTTAACATTTAGCTCTGCCCTTCCTTCAGCAATGACCAAGTAAAATACATGAAATTCATCCCATTCAGAGAAATGTAATGACCTAAATTATTGACTGAATTTACATCTCACTGGTTCACACTGCTGAGGCAGATAGTCTGATCCTCTGCAGGCACCTCTCCTTCTTCCAATACTACATTGACCTGTCCCCTTGTCTCTCTCTCTCTATCTTAGGGATGCACCCTGATGAAGCTCAGGACTGACAATCTAAGGTAATCAAATTTCAATAACATCACCACAAATATTTAGGTCTGTGGAGAGAAACATCAACACTCTAAAGACTGTAACTGAATTATGGAGAGCCATTCAATTTAAGATTACTGAATAATCTTCACTAAAGCAAAGTGATTCAAAGTTCAAATCTGAAGTTCATTTCAACCTTGCTTCTATTTTCTAACATTTGCACAACCACACAATTAGAGCACATGTTTCCTTCATAGGAATTTTAGAACACAACAAGTTATAACACTTGTTATGACAGGAGATACATGCAAAGTAACGCAGGTCAGGATACCTCCTTCATTGGAGTTTGCAGAGCCTGTAGATGAATTGCTACTCTCTACATTCTTGTCATATCTAGAAGATGCAGCTACTTCTTGACCCTGGAGTGAATGATCATCTCCTGACTCTGTAGAGAGTCCATTTGATGAATCTACATTTAGTCTATTGTTTCCACTTGAGGCTCCTCAGAAAGGTAAAATCATAAGAATAAGAATAATTTGAATGTGCATCTGTCTTCAGATCTGTACTATGTGGGGACAAGTTTTTTTATAATGTGATTACTGGAAATTGTGTGTTATCAAGAATAGATATCCTTAGAGTTATCTGTTCGACTTCTTCAAGGTCTATACAAACAAAGACAATATGTCCATTCTGACCCTCTTAGGGCAATACCAGGGAAACAAATTCTCTCCCTTTGATGAAAAATGAAAACCCAAGATAAAGACAATGAGACTTGAATCTGTTTGAAATCCTCAGGAGCACACAGCTTACGATACTGTGTATGCCCTAGCCTCATTACTGCGTCATTTTACTGCAGTTCTAAAAGAATTCAGGTCTTGTCCTTGGTCCTGACTCCAAATTTCTGTTCTGTATATGCTCTGCACATAATCTCTTCTTCCACTCATGGTTTAGTCAGACTATTAGAAGCTTCTTGACAGACTATATCATACATAGGTGATAATAACACCTGATTATGAATTATCTGACAGGAAACACTCCTAGACTCTGCATTGTCAGAGACTTCTTCTTGCATGTCCACTAAGATCATTGTTAGGAACACATGTTCACCCAGACGCACAGCTAAACCCATCTCTACCCTTCATTTTAGTAGATCTCTATCAAGGTACCTCGGTTTTACAACTGCTAATATAATGAAGGTTTGGAAGTGCAACTTAAGTCAGATTTGACAGCCACACACTGATGCTTGACTACAGGGGCCACTGGCATTGAAATAATCTTCTCAAATCATTTATTAGCAATATAGTTTTTCATGCTATATGAATATCCACTATAAAAGGGAAAATTATTTCCATCAGAACTTTGATCAAAATATTTAACTCTGTACCTTGACAAATTAAAAATCACTCCTGACCATATGAAACTACATAAGCTACCACCTTTTAGACAATGTGTCTTTTTTTTCTCATAAACACTGTGTTTACAGAAAGTTCAGCATCTAAACTAAATCTATCCTTGTTTTTTTCTTCTTACCCAAAACAGAACACAGTGGTCTCTATAAAGAAAACTACAAGATCTATCCCTGTTTCTTTCTTTTCCCTCAAAAGAGATCAATGTCGTCTCTCCAAGCAAAATCAAACAGATTAATTGTTCAGACCATATGCAACAATATTTAAGTTTCAAAAGATCCTAGGTGAGACCATACCTATTATCCATACTTGCCCTGAATGGAAATACCCACAGAGCTTCCAGCATAGACTATATTCAGTGGATGAAATTTACCAAGATTTGCAAGTTCACTTTGGCTCTATCCTTCTTTTATCCATATATAACTTGGAACACTTCACTTTCAGCAAAACACAATGCTGTAAACTACTGAGTGGATCTAAACATCACTGGTTCGTAATGGTTAGGTAAACTACTTGATCCACTGCCAACATCGTTCCTTCTGAGTCCAAAATTATCCTCAATTTTCCATCAAAGTCTGAACAATGCAACCAAAACATCTGCTATGTTTGTCTTCATCGAAAAACATGTACTAACTATTCTTTCCCTTTGATGGAATATGAAAATGCAAGTTACAAAATAATGAATTTTAAACCATTTGAGATTCTCAAAAGGATCTACATTAGTAGAGGTCTGAGAAATATCATCTTCCCTGAGTCTCATAGGCTTAGCTCCAGTAGACTCCTCTATCTAGTCAGTTCTCCATCTTCCATTCCTTTCAGTAAATGCTCTACACTCAATTCCATCTGTCAATGTTTTTCATCCACTTCTTCCATTCACAGTTCACCCACACATCTTAAGTAGCCTACCTGACCCGCTGCCATGAAGTCTGCTGATGCCACCTCCTACACTGATATCACCATGGATATCACCTGCAGAAAGTATGTCATGTGAAGCATTGTCATATGCAGAACTCAAGACTCCAATAAATGTAAATTCAAAGGGAATAGAAACACCTACAGCACTTTCACTTTATTCTTCAACATTAATAATCCTACTTTACTAAACTCATTAATAACCAGGTTAATTTTTAACTCCAATCTTCTTCCTTCACCTTATCCAGAATAGAGTACCAAGAGTTACCTCCCAATATAAAAGCATATTAAAAGAAATAAAGAAATCTAAAATCAAAATATTACTCCCACATCATATAAGAAGATATTTGAAACTCCTTGTGAACACTCCAGGAGTGAGACCTGGTTGAATACCTCTTAATATGGGCAGAGACTCAAGGACTCTAATCAAATTGAGAGCAGGATTTGGAGGAGGAGTTTCACTTCTTCCAAGACTGTGTGCATCAGAAGTACCTAAACTAGACTTTAGATTTGCAGAGGCATCAACACCAAGTTTAAACTCGTTTCTCAAGTTATCTTTACCTGTAGAATATAAAAAGAGTGTCAAAGAGGATAGTGAACCATTTCTGAACTCCAATACTTTATGCAAGAATATTAGAAAATAATATCAAAATCACCAAAGCATATTCTCCACAACAAATTATCTCACTCTAAGTATTTTTCTAGGAAAAACATTGACAATAACAGAATTCAAGCTACAAATTCCAAAGCCAACAGCAGAATCTTTCTTCACTTTTTTGAGCTACAAACCAGCAGTTTCCATTGCAAGTAACAAAAAATAAACGAATAAATAAAACACTATTAAAAGTGGCTCTCTGGTGATACATTGCTTACGTAGTATTTGAAAAAAAAGACCTTTTTTTCCTCCACACGTTAAGTAATTTAATTAATTCAGGTCTAAGTCTACATTGCAAAGCAACAGTGACCACACCCAATGACTACAGTTACCTCTATCAGACACACTGTCATCTTTGCTCCCACCAGAACTCTTGGCATTCGTATTCTTTTTAGCAGATCCAAACAATCCCAATCCAAGGCCTGTAGAGGTATGGAGGCCAACTCTACTTCTGATAATTGAAGCTGTTTGAAACAATAACAATATTGTCATGAGAAAATGGACACATCTTGACTTTTTCCCTTTAATAAGAATGAAGAGAAAATATGGAAAGCTGAAATGTTTTGAGGATAGATAAACAATGACTGAATGAATAAAAGAGGACAAACATACCCTTTGTTTTGTATCAATAACACTCATCAGCATTCTTGTCCTAATGACAGACATGCCTCTCCACAGCTTTGTCAAGCTTCCTGATGTCTTACTGGTTCCCGCCAACATCCACATCTTCGAAGGCCAATGACTCCTTCTCAAAAATTACTCAGAGTCACAGAATTTTCTTAACCCTTGTTTTCTTCACTGCCTTTGATTTCCAAAGTTAAGAATCTATGAAGTTAGCCTTCTGCAAATTTACCTTCTTTTAGCTTTACTTTTGTCTTCAAAGAAGACTACATTAAGAATAAGAAAAACCCAATCATTAGCATTGTAACTGTCACAGAGAAACAAAGCTGGAAAGTTTTCTAGTCTGTGTGACAAAACAATAAAAACAAACAAACAAGTACCACTCAAATGATTTCCCCAAAGTCCTCAATAGATCAAAGATAGCATCTTTTTCTTTCAGACACAAGGCTCTTCAGTACAGAGTATTTATACTGCTGCTTTCTTTGGACAATAGTATGGTTCTTTAATTCTAAATAGACAAATCAGAAATCATTTCCGTTAATTCATCCAATACTAAATCCATATCCACCATAGACCAGGTACTAACCACATATCCACCATAGACCAGGTACTAACCACAAACCTCTATTTTGCTAATAAAGGTAATTTTCTAAGCCCAAACTGACCATGTTTTTCCAACATAAATTCTATGTTCTTATGATCTGATACTAACCAAAGTTCTGGAAATTGGGACTATTTCTGGAAAACATAGGACTCAAAGTGAACAGACTTCCCTCTAACCTACCAACGGGCACATATTAAGACAAACATCAAAACAGTCCCATTAAACAGAAAACTTCCCTTATGTGTTCTGATACAAGTTGTATTGTTTGGCACCTGAAAATACAATCAAGTGTATTCAGCCAAAGACCAGAAAAAGAAAATGGCTTACAGATGTGATTCCAATAGAGTATAAAGGTTTTTAAAGAAAACTTAAGCACTATTATTTTCTGTGTCACAAATTACTGACAATGATGAACTATCAGAAATGTAGTTAGCAGTTAAGAATTTGTCCCTGGATTCACTTCAGGCATATGGAGATGTCATAAACGCCATACTTGAATTCTTGCTTCTTTGACTTGCCTATTAGCTAAAATCCTTACAGCCTTATCTGAGATGTGCATTCCTGCCAGACAAACTAGCTTAAGCATCCTGGGTCAGTGGTGTTGCCTTCTGAGTGTGTGTAAGCAGTAAAGGACTTGGGAGCAGGCAGCAGACATTGTCCTTCTACAATATGGATATTGTATCAAGTTGCTGCAGCAAGAGAAGAGAGTCGCCACGCCAAAGTTGGTGAGACCTTCAGAAATCATCTCTAGAAAAGAGAGATGTGTGTTCAAGTTGAAAACTCAGTGTGAGCTGAGCACCTGCTCTCCCTTAGTCATAGTTTTTGGCTTTAGGAAAACACTGAAATCCCAGAACAAACTGCCTTGAAGAATTTGGATCAGGAGTGGGGTGTATAAAGGAGGAGCCAGGCAGCATCAGCGCAAACCCAGGAGGGTGTTTTCTGTTTCCTTGTGTAGGTAGCCTCACAAGTTGAAGACTGAATTTTCAGAGATACTGACCTTTTGTTATACTGAAAAGTCATCTCTCCTTTTTTTATAAGAAGAACAGAAATAGTATAATGTGTTTAAAGACAACAAAATACTTTTACTTCAACTCTTCCTTAAAATTTACTATGAATAACCACTCTTTATATGTGATAACTAATATTCCAATACTAATTTATTATTTTGGAGCTTTCTTATTTAATAAAATTCCACCATGTGATTAGGGGAAACATTGAACACTGCCCATTATACCTAAAGTCACACTATTCCAGGGCAACCTAGTCTTGAAAATGCAGAGGGAAACAAAACTCACCAGTTAATATTGGTCAATACACAACTTCTTTTACCCATAACAGCCATGATCTAAAAGTTTCCAATCTGAATTTTACCTGATTTTATTTTGGCTAGTATTTTCTTAGTAATTTATTAGTTAAAGATGAGAATTTAAAAAATGACCTAATCTATTTTATTTTAGTGAGAATGAAGAAACTAAAAAAATATTATAAGAAATATATGTACATATTGTCAGATCTATATTTTATTATAGATTACATGGTTACATACTCTATATATACATATATATATATGTGTGTGTATATATATACATGTATGTATATATGTGTATGTATACGTATATATACATGTATATAAATGTATGTTATATATATACTATACATATAACATACATATATGTATATGTATATGTATATATATATATGTGTGTGTGTGTGTCTGTGTGTCTGTGTAGCTTTAGTTATAACTAATACATTCTATTTATCCAAGACTTTTAATTTTTTTCTTCTTCCTGTAACGTCATGGCTGGTGAAACCATATAAATTTTATTTTGATTGACTATCAAACTACTGCTTGTTTTTAATGTTACACAGTTTTTAAATTTACCAGTAATGCTTTCAGTAAGTCTGGCTTTTTAAACTATCCAAGAATTTGGTTAGTTTACTAAATGTTTTCCCTGTGAATCTTTGTTTGAGCGATGGGCTGGTCCTTTTAGAAGTGATGTGATTTGTGAATACAGCAATTGTCAGTGTAGCATTCTAGACATCATGGGAATGCAAACTCAAACCATAGTCATCAATGTATAAACTGTGCTGAGAATGAGCAACAAACCTTAAGGCTAACACACACACACACACACACCCATACACACACTCATACACACACACACACACACACACCCCTCCAAGATCACCTCTGAATGTATAAGTAACATCTGCTGTATCAAAAACAATATAGCCCTGCACACTATCCTACCTTGAGGCACAAGGAAGACGTGGAGAACACTAAGCGTTAAATATACATGTATTCACTAAACTACAAAGGCTCAAATACTTTACCTTTGCAAACGGTGCAGAGCACCACAGCCAGGTACAGAAGTATCAGCTTCATGGTGATGATCCGGGACCTAAGCGTAGAGACTGTTCATGCCAGAGAATCAGGCCCATCGTGGCAACTCTAGCCTGCGTATTTATAGGCCATCTCAACATTGGCTCTCGTCAGCAGTTGGAGTGACAAGCCTGGTGGTGACAGCACAGACAAACATTGCAGCAAGACGAAGGCAATCTACTGCACATCAGGTTAGTATCCAATTTCTCTGACATCTTCTGCATTGGTCCGTGTCCAGTTTATGCCAACCACAGAATATGCCTTCTTGCCACCCTGTGCAAATAGCAAAGCCAGGAACTGAAAGCCGGAGGATTAAACCTCAAATATGCTGATGACATTTCTTGGTCAGCACCCTATCAATCATCACAGATGTCTTAATGCCTCAAGGAACTCAAATATTATGATATATTAAAATTGTCCTTCTTTTGACAATTAAATGTGTTTTAAACATTGACTTACCTTGAAACAAAGAACTCTGTGTCTTCGCTTACTAATATGAAATGGTAATTTCTTTAGAGATATACCTGTACTTATCATCTAGGTACAGACATACTACAATACAGGAGTGTATCATGTCATGGCCCTAACTTTATCATTGAAAAATTCCTAATATTTTAATTACACATCTTTTTCCATGTACTTCACAATCAGAGAGACACATAAGAAGAAATATATAGAAACGTTGACATGAGAAAAAATGTTTTAGGACAGAAATAAGATTAAATAGAAAACCTATTTAAGGACTATACATCCGTGCAACATTCAAGTTTGAGTGCAAGGTGAGGTCTGTTTCATACATAACTGCATAGGGAAAGAAAATCAAGATGTCTTTCACACTACCCAGTGGATGTGAACCCTGGGGATCCAGATGCACAGCTTCTCATAGATACCTAGTTGCTGCCTAGAAACCTGCAGAAGCTAAAGGATTAGAGAAGAGTTTTATTATTCTTAGAAAAGCAGCAGAAAACATAGACCAACTTCCTCTTTCTTTACATTTCTGTTACCATCTCTCAATTATGTCCCCCACTCCTCGCCCCACCAAAGGTTAAAATACTTGAAATCTTTGCTGTTTAGGGTAACAATCCACTGAAAGCCATGCGAATTTCCCCTCTGGATCACAAACGTGGTGATTGTGCACACATGGATACATTAGTGCTACAGCAAAGGCCTACGTCATGCCAGTCTAGGAGAGCTCTGACTTCAGAACTGGAAAAATGGCTTAATGGGCAAAGTGTTCAACATGTAGATGTGAGAACAGGACTTTGCATACCCCAAATCCAATTAATGCCATTTGACAGGGGATCAGCCTCTAATTCCAGGACTTAGATGGCAGAGATAGAGGACAGCTGGAGCAAGTTGGGTAGTTTCATGTTCAACTAAGAGACCCTATTCAGAAGAATAAGGTGAAGAACATAAAGAGAAAACAGCCTTAAGTCTCCAAACACAAAAGTGTATCCACACACAAGGAAATACGCATCACTTTCCTCGCTTTCACAAGTTTGGAAGCTCCAAACCATGGCTTTAATTAAATTCTTTCCTTTCCTTTACCTATGTCCTGCAACTGAGCATGGATGGATAAGATCATGCACTCAGACTAACCTTCCTTACTGCAGGGCAACACAGAAAATAACAGAGCAATTCTAGATCCTACCCACTTCTTTCTGATGTTCTTCTATTCTATATTCACTGCCCGCATCCAGCACCTTTCTAGTCACTCCTCAGAGTTAATGACATTGCTTTAAATTATTCTGGAAAAATAAATGTTACCAGAAGAAAAGCTACAAGTTTCCACTCATCTACTGTCATTTGTACTCAAACTCGACCTGCCTCTGTATTAATTCAGGTAAACTTCTGTGTCAGGATCTGCTATTTCAATCAGGGACATTTTGTCAGCACTTCTTTCATCTCCCACTCTGACACCAAGATAGTACTCTTTTGGTACTCTTTTGGGTGATTATTATCACATCCCTCACTCCATGCAAGGTTGATTTTTTTTTAACTTCTTCCAATTTCAAGGTATCTGTGATGGCGAGCATTATAAGAGCAAAGGCATCTACATATATTGTTAATTTCTAATAAATATTAGTAGGGTTGTTAAAGACTTTCATAGGCTGTAGACTCATTTTGGTCAAGAGTTTCCAGTTGAGACAGATCAGTTCTACAATGATCTTTAAGGACTTTTAAATGTTTCACATTTATGATATGATACTAGTAGAATAATAGTCTCATAATGTGAAATTATGATACATATCTTAAAGGAATGCCCATCAAAAAGAACAATAGGCGAATGTCAATGTCACGATTCAAAAGGATGTGGCTTAAGTCTATATACACCTAGCGCTGTGCTTCCAGAGAAAGTCAACTGTTGAAAGAACAAAAGCTTCAGTGTGGGCAAGATAGTGTGTTTATATAACAAGGCTTGTCCTAAAAGGAAACATGGGACATCTTAAACAACATCTGCTTGGGGCATAGAACAAGAAGTTCTCTATTATCATACACATTACGATCGAAAATCTGGAAGGGTGAATTTCTTAACATTAGAAATGTGTTATTATATGAAAAGTCTCATTCCCGGAAGAAATAGAAATTAAATTAAAATTTTGAGAAACTATTCATCAAACTCATGCAACTATGTGAAACCTAACTAGTATTTAACATTCTATATAGACAGTATAACCTTGTTAGTGATATAACACCTCCAATTCAATTTCAACATTTTCTTAGACTGATATTTAGAAGGCATGGGAGACTGGACAATAAGGGGATGGACTTCCAGAGCGTGTTCAGAACTTCTGTTCACCACCACTTCAGATCTCTGTAGTATCTTCAGCAGTGGTGAGGCTCCTTACCCGCCTCACTCAGAAACTCACTACTCCTCTGTTTGCAAACTCACATGCCTTTCATCCCAGGTAGATCTTTGCTAAGTCCTCTGCCATTTTCTAAATTTATTGATCATCTTAAGGCTAGCCCATTTTCTGCTCCTGTCTTCCTAAGGCTAGCCCACCCTCTGCACCTATCCCCTTTTCTTCTGAATAAAGATATTTTCTACACTTTGTCTTCTCAATTTGTCTTGCATATTAGTGTCTCTACCAAAATAAACAAACAGATAGAAAATACAGGGCTGCCAAGGGTGGTGATTTCCATATCCACAATGTCCTTTTGAGGTTTGGATCACTGTTCAAAAGTGCCAGGAAGTATTTCCACCTGTATACTTTACAAGGGGCTCAAGTCAATACTACAAAAATTCAACAGTTTGCTGAGCCACACCCAGCATGCGTCTCTGCTTCTCATACTGAGCAACACACAACATTTTACATTCAAACTTTCACTTATCTTGCATGCACAACCTTAATTAGTACTTTTAAACCAAATAAGGCACACTATAGTGACATAACAATAGCTTGTTTCATTACCCATGAACCTTTTACCCATGAATATATATGCCTTATAACCTCTGACAGGCTAAAAGGCCAGAGACTAAAACTCACAGAGACCACTTTCAGTCTATAAGGGAAAACTTTATTTCAGAACAAGTAAATTAGGATATTTTATTCTTAATTTGGAGCTGTGCATGAATAAGACTTTTTAAAAAAAATGTGTAACCAAAAGAATTATTTCATAAGCAAATATCCATGTAACTTAAGTCAAGAAATAGAAGATTAAAGGACACAAGATGGCACATTAAATGCTTCCAACTCCCAGCAGGCTTTTTAGGAGACATCAGAACAAGGCAAGCACTTTGAAGGATGATGACAGTTGTGAAGGCATTGAAGTGTAGCTGTGAACAGAGACTAGAAAAGTCTCTAATGTTCAGAGACAGGAACAGGCAATCAGAGAAGCATATCGAACTGCTATACTGTAGCATCACTGCAGAGGGTAAAGCAGAGACAAATTCAAGGGCATAGGGAAAAATGAATCTCACTAAAAACAGATAAATAGGAACTAGTACAGCATTAGAAAAGCACCAACACAAGAAACTAGTGTGTGCTTTTCTGCAATAACCCTGTGTTTAAAAGGTCTAATTCTCTAATTAAATGACAGGAACTACTTCATTGGATTGAAAAACAAGACCCAGCACTTGTGTATACAGGTGTCTCCACTAAAGTGTGGGCAGCTGTCTTCCTCTAAGTAAATTATATAGATTTCTCTCCTGAGTGCCAAAATTGTTCACCTGGCCAAGGACCTTGATTCTCACAAAGTTGCATGTCAGATTGTGTTACAAGGAGAATCACTGACTCAAACAAAATCATTTCTCTGAGCCACAGTGAACTTGCTGAGAATCTGATGTCCCCACCCAAGTCCCAGGGACACCACAAAGACTAAATGATGACAACTCTGACCCCCTCTAAAATATAATGATAACTTCAGGAAGCCTCATGATTGGACCTTCTAGTTAGCAGAGAAAGGGGAGAATAATAGACCAGATCTTTTTGGGTTCAGACTCCATCACAGAGAACCTGACCTAAGGTTAAACTCAAACTAACAGACTAACTCGCACCAGTTTCCAGGCTACCCCCAACAAGACATGTTTGACACCAGTTTCCAGGTCATTCCCCAACAAATCTATACTCCCAGGTTAAAATCCTGCCCCTGACACTTCACTTTCTAACAACCACCAATCAAATACAACAAACAAACAAACAAACAAACAAACGAAACAAAAAATGTTAGGTTTATAGTTTGGCTCCCAACATAAGCCAATTATGTTAAATGCAATAATGGCCCCTACCCCTTTCTTGCCTCTACGAATGCTTTCCTAAAACTAGACTCAGGGCTCCACCTTCCTGCTGTGTCGGGATTGATGGGGAGCCCAAGCTCAAGGTTCAGTAAAAAGACCCTAATATGATTACATCAAAAATCTGCTCCTTGGTGGTCTCTGGGGGTTCACAAACATTACCTGATACAACAACTGCTCTCCCTCATTCCTGGTTCAGGAGCTCATCCCACCACTCGGGTAACTCAACAGAACATTGGTTCTGCAGATGAGCTTCAAGGTTTGAAACTCTTT